TGGAAGCATATATTAAAGATGAGTTTAAATTTTTGCAAGTAAAAAAGCTTAGTTCATAAATTCAATCCTCAAGTTTATTTTTGTTACAATTTAATCTTAAAGTAACACGTTGGATTTACATCAACATTTTTCATCAGTAAAATTTTAATATGTTAATGTAAAAAATTAAATGTCAATGAGTTGATTTAGTAACATTAAGAATGAACTTAAAAAACAAATATTTAAAACTAGAGTAAAATTTAGTTAATATTTTAAACATAAAAATAGAGCTTTTCCCATCTTCAGTGAACAGTTTCACTTATATAGCCACGATTTCAATGCGGACAATGCATTGCTATACTTTCTTTTCAGACCCGAATTGATAGATTTAATGGTAGAACAAATTGGTGTGTCGAAAGGTATATGGTTCATATGATTAAACATTAAATATTTAGAGCTAAGCTACAAGAAAATAATAATCTTAACATTTCTCCCTAATATGGACAACTTGTCCTTGACCAAATCATGGAGTCGAATTAATCAATATGCTTAAGAAAATTACCTAATCTCAATAAAGAAAAAAAGTTTTCTTTCAACTTTGAGCTACCCTTTATATATATATATATATATGTCTTTATTATATATGCAAGAAATAACGTTACATGAAATGCTATATTTTTTTTTTATTTTAACCTACAATTTATTTATTTATATAAAAGCGATACATGTTTTTCTAAAAAAAAATAAAAATAAGTTAATTAATATTTTTTAAAAGATATATTATTTTTTATGAATAAAAAGATTTATAGCATAACATAGTATGTCTATTATTATACATTCGTGTTTCTCTCGTGTGAATATATAATCAATTCCCAAGAGCTTGGTAGCTAGCGTTGGTATAAGAGTTGCTAGAGAAAATGATATAAAATAATTAAACTTTGATAAGTAACAATAAATAATTTCATTTTTTTAATATAATATACAAGTACATTTTGCTAGAGAAAAAATGGATATAAAATTGTGTAGAATAGATTAATTTGTTTATTTGGTGAAATAGTGAAGGATATAGACAAAGACTTGTCTTTCTCATGGAATAGGTTTAAATCTTTGGAAAATCATTCAAAATCTTGCTTTAGGCATGGGGTCATTAAAGAAATTTTTTGGCATTTAAGAACAAGTTGAGTATTTACCATATCAATGATAAAATTAGAGTTGTCTTCTTCTTCCTAACACTATTACTTAAAAACAAAAATAAAAGAGATTGAATTATTGATATCAGAATTATAAAGTCTAACCTTAGTTATACACATCTAATTTCTCGATATGGATAGAGAAGCAATTTGCATCACAAGTAGGAAATTTATAAAGATATTTCTTTCATATCCAAATCTTTGAAGTGATTGTTTATATATGATTCATACATACTATCTCAATCAAATGTCACCAATCTAATGTTTGGTTGTAAGGAAATAAATGGAAAGTTGAATAGGGAAAAGAGACAAAGGAAGGGAGAGAAGTAGTAAAATTCCTCTTTATCCAATTTTAACCCTTGAACAAAATTAGGAAAATTTGATAAGGAGAAAAAAATTAATTTAATTCAATAAAATTATCTCTAATTTAATAAGTTTATTCGACCAAATCTAAAATACATAGTAGCAAATTTATTTTTCTTTTCTTTTCTTATAAACCAAACAAGATATTATTCTCCTCTATTAAAAAATCCTCCTTCATCTTCCCTTTCTTCTTTTAAACCAATAATAATGAACATGAAAATTTAAAGAAAAAGTTAGACTAAATATTGAATGAGCAGTCCAACACGTTAAAGACAAGAGAATCAATATATTTTTTTTCTTTCATTGTACTAAAAAAATTGTCTTCTCTAACGAAGTAACATAAGAATAATTAATAATGTAACTATAATGAGGTAACCTTCATTTACAAGCATAAACAAAGATCTTTTGTTTGATGGAAATATATGAGGGATGAGGAAGAGATTAGAATATATCCAAATATTGGCAGTAACCTAATCCCATTATTTCTTAAGCACTTGAAAAACCCTTTAAGACATCATGTCTTTTTTACATAAGAATAGGGTTAGTAGTTGCATCTCATCTATGGCAAGCCATAGCAGCAAATACCTAATATTGGCAGAGATAAACAACCGACAGCGTGATGGAGATTGGCGAGAAACGAACAGAAATTTAAGAAATTGGTGGTTGGATATGGTTTGGCCATTTTAATCTTTTGAGATAAGGCAAATAGCATGCTTCTCTTTTGTTAATGGTGAATTTTCTTTTCAGAAAACTAATAAATTTAAAAGTAATATATGATTGAATTTTAGATTCTTGTAATATATTCTTTATTAGTGTTTTTTTCATTAAATTAAGAAAGTAAAAGAGGAGCACAAATTAAAATAAAAAATTGAAGGACAATTGTAGAAAAATAAAAATAAAAATAGATAAAAAATTGAAAGTAAATTTAATGCAATAAAATAAAATTAATGTACTGTATAACTTTAATTGAGACAATATACTTATTAATTTATTTATTTTTTGGAGTCTAACCTTTCCGTAAAACTTGGCAATGTTTTGAGACAAAAAATGCAAGTGTTTACGTGAAAAAGTTGTAACCCTTTGTCCTATTGTCTAACTACCTGTTTATAGAAAAATATAATGTAATTTTCTAAAATGTATATTAACCATTATCGTGTATTATTCATGATTTTTGTCACGTGTATTACTTACAACAGCTAATAATTGCTCCTAATGTGTTATATTTTCTATAAAATCTTTTATTTTCTTTGAAGTCTTTATATTTTAAATATTTCATTATGCGAAATAATTTGAACCAATTTTCTTGATGAAATATTTTTCATCCTATTATTAATCGCATTTTTTTATGATTGTAATAATATTTTTTGTGAATATATTTAGAATGAAACTTTTCAATAACTTTGACAATATAACACTTTACAACCTAAAAAAAGTCATGAATTTGCAAGAAAATTCATTAAAATATCATATTCTCTTCAACTAGAAAATCAATGCTTCTAAGTTATACTTTGCACAAAGAAAAAAATTTGTCTCTTCATTTCAACTAAAAAAAAAATCATGTTTTTCTTTAGTCATAATTTATCCAAAAATTTGTCAAAAAAGTGACTTTCTTTTTAACTAAAAATTAATGTTTCTTTGCCCATACCTTGTACAAAAAATTTATAGAAATTTCATTTTTTGATTAAAATCTTACTAAGGCAATGCTATGCAAAACTTTGTTGCAATATCTATTTCGACTAGAAATTAAGGTGACAAAATCAGTTAATTTAACATAACATGTTTCAAAAAGAAATGATAAACTTTGACCATTATAAATTATTTTTTCAAGCAACTTTTTCAAAGTAAAAGTTTGTTATCCTCTTTCCGAACAACTTTTTTAAATTTATAGCTTGAAAATTTTCGTTTCTCCAAAACATCTATATAGCATTATGATTTGAAGTTAATTTCAGCTTTGTATATATGTCGCAAAATTCGTTCATCCTAATTAAGAATATTAATACAACAAACGTACTTAGTAAATCATTCACGTTTAGAACCTGTTTGTTTATTTGGTAAAACTGAGATTTTAAACTTCCTAATACATTAAATTTCATTATTAGTCAAGTTTAGTAAAAGTGTGTTTAGATTCACATTTAAATACCGACAATTTTACGTTTGCTTTAATATTATCATTGTAATTTCTGGGTTGAATTCTTATTTATAAGTTTTTAAACGTATTTGTTTTAAATATAGAGAATAAAAATATTGTAGGGGCCTAAATCCGTTGGAAACTAACAAACAAACAAACAGGCTATTAATATCTATCATTGATTTAAGACAGATTACACTCACACTATGTCAAATTTAGTGAAATTTTATTTGACAATCTTCTTAGTAAAACTAACTATTCTTAATGTCTTATGTAATTGTATAAATTAGAAAAGATCAAAGCAATAACAATAAAAGAGAGAGATTGGATAAAACTTTATTAAATGTTACAAAAATAAAAAATGTAATTTGCTAAAAAAAATTGGCTTAGTTTAGATAAACTTTTAGAGAAGTTAACAACATATGATACAAAAAATGTTACTTAAATGGTTCCCCAATTCTTCAACCAAACCAATTGGTCAAGTCAACAACATAAGATACAAAAAATGATAAAAATGAAAAACTGTGTACATTAAAATTTGTTAAATAACTGCTTTTACTATTTTCGGTGAAAACTTTGAAATTAAAATCCAAACTATCCTATTCTAAAATAATGTCATTTTAACAGAAGAAAAAAAGATGTTCTAAATTATTTTTCATTTTAGGATATTTGAAAAATATTTATCAATATCCTCACTTTGTCTTTCTCCCTCTAAACTAGCGCTTAATAACTATTTTTAAAGGAAAATTATTAATAAAATATGATTTTAAAAAATAATTTGGCCCTACGATTATTTTCTTTTAACAATTGAGATTTTTTTTAATTCTTATACAAAACTTTTAAAATGTTATTTTAGAATATAAAAGTAAAAATAATAATAAATATGTCATTCATATAATTGTTAGACCCTCCAAAACTTTGGTGTGTGTTTAGATTCACATAAAAAAAAAAATCAGTAAATATGAATCCAACACAAAAGTTTCAATTGAGAGCGTTGAAGTAAACGTGAATTCGTGAAAGGAATCATACATTGGAAGTGTAGCTCAATGAGAATCTTGTTTGTCAGAGCTTGGAGGATCCTTTGTAGACAAATCAAGTCTCTCTCCAAAAATCACCTTTTTCATTTATTAGGAAGTTTTATTTTCCAGATATCATGACATTTTCTTGTCATCACTAATAAAGCAATGCAACAAGGTAAAGCAACTACCATCAATCCCAATATAGTAGCATATATTTCTTTCCAAGTAGAGAGTTTATTTTGAGTAAGCTTGCAAAAAACATTTGCAACAATTGAGCTTATTCAAATAAAGCAATGGAAAAAGGTGCAGCAAATACCATCAATCCCAAAATGCTGGCATATATTTCTTTTCCAAATAGAGTCTATTTAGAATAATCTTGCAAACACACATTTACAATAATTGTTTAGATTATTTTTCCCGTCAGCTACTCTGTTTTTTTTAGACACATCAAAGTTGATTTTTTTAAATTATGTTTATTGAAAAAGATTTTTCATCAAAATTCTTAAAGCATAAAAATAATATAAAAAGTACTTATTTACAGAACAAAAGTTTGATCAAACAAGCTTAAGCAAAGGGTGCTACACATTAATAAATCAATGGCTGGAAGCACAAGAATACAGTGTAATTGAACTAGAACTAGAACTGCCACTAGTCCTCAATATTTGAGGGAACTATGGTTATGACGGGTCAAAGGCTTGTCGACACACAATTATCTTCTCCACACACCGCATCATAATTTGTATTGGGCGAAGCACTCTTTGCTCTGAAGACCCCCCACAAGTAGTACTTTTCTTGAAATCCTACACAATAAAATAACTCCAAACTCAATACACAATTTCGTTTGAGTACAATAAATTTGAATTGTGCCATTTAAAGCAATAGCACAAAAGTAACTTACTTCGGTAATCTATAGGGAGCAAAGTAGAAGGAAAAACTAAAAGCTCAGCATTTTTAATCACAGTTCTTATGGCAAGGTCAAGGCTAATCATGTCATCAACCAGCTTGTCAAAGGCCCTTTCAACACTGTAAAAGCATGTCAAATTTAATACTGAATCAAAGAGAGAAGAATAAGATCATGTTAATTTGTCTGAAGAATCACCTGTCACTCTCAGGAAAGAGAAAAAGAGCAATGCTATCCTTATTTGGCCTACATTCGATGAAAGACTTTGGCCACACCTCAGATCTTTGAGGTAAGTCACCGCAAACCACTTCAGGGAAAAGTCTTGTTTCTTCATGAGCTTTGGGACATGCTAAAGTGGACATATGAGCCAGAACTTCAATGACAGTACCTAAACTTTGGTCACGGAGGCACAAACTTCCCCTGTTGGCCAGAAATTCAACTTCAGACAATGCTTCACAATAGCAGCTAGAAAATTCACCAAATCGTAAAGGTTACAAAACAAATTTTTTACCTCCAGGCCGGATCAGCAATAGGCTGTGGAACAGCCTCAATCACAGACCCATCACTAGTATTAGCTTCATCTCTTGGAACTGGTTGACACTTTTTCCCAAACTTCTTTTCCGTTTCACAGTTACTACTGCATTGACCCAAACCATGGCTATCAGATAACAGCACCTTTGTCTTAGCTGCAATATTTTGCTGCTTCTGCTTTTTTTTCTTTATTCTCTTTATGCATTCTTTTGGTTCTATTCTGTCTTGAGATGCATCCCTCCCTGTATTCAGACAATCACTTTTTCCAGATGGGATAAGAGCACATTGATCATGAGAAGATGTGTCTACTACCTTTGGCTCACAATCCTCACAAAACCACATAACTTCATCAGTAAAAATTACAGGCCCAGGCCCATCTAAGCAATACCTGAAAAGGAAGATTGAGGAGTATAAGGTCAATGTGCATTTAAGAATAGCAAACTTAAACCACCATGCTGGGAGAAAAATTGAATAGCAAACTTAAACCACCATGCTTCAGAGACCAGAGAGGAAGTTCATGGTATTAATACAGTTGTTTTGCACATCAACTGAATGGAAAAAGATCGGTGGTATTTCCAGAGAGGCTTTCTCTTATTTACAGAATATATGACAATACACATGTATCTATGACACAGACACAATATCTTATGTGATATGGTACTTGCTACGGTACCCATAAACGTGAGAGAGCATTGTACACCCTCTCTAGATTGACGGTTGTGATTCCTCTAATATTTTAGATATTAAAAGGTATTTACGTCTTTTTCAAATAATCACTAACTCCACTATTCATTAATATAAAATTAACAGTAATAATTGTTCCACTATTTACCATATGGTATAAATAATATATCTTAAAATTTTCTAATAAAACTATAATCTCCAATATGCATCTAAATCATATTTGAGGTATATATTGCCTTTATTTTAGAATATAATATAAACAAACATTTCTCCCACCTTCTATACCAATATAAATCTTACTTTTAAAGGAAATTTAAAGAATGTTCCTATGGCATTAAAGTGGCAGCATCTGCAGCCAAGCATAATGTGAAAACATACAAGTACCATCCAAGCAAGTAGACATAAAGAGTGAACAGATTATAGAAGTACCTATGAAGTGCATAAACCTGACACTTGTTGCACACAACCAATGTCTCTGGAAATCCTTTATCGCCACACAAAAGACAAACAGCTACCTGTGACAAGTGTACAGAGTTTTACTACAACAGTTCATAAAAGTATATGCACAACTCAAAAGAAACAGACACTCTACCACAAAATACTGTCATAGGCATACGCAGACAAAAACTAGTGTTGACTATGGTTGCAAAGAAAACAATTTCAAAATGTTGATAAAAGTCATAAAACTTGCTTTATTGCTTCAATATTTTTGCGAAAGATCATGATGAAAACAATTGTGTTAGATGTTGCCAAATACTAACAATTCTTTCTTCTGATCAATTCAAGTTTTTATCAAGTTCATGCTATTTAAAGAAGAAACATTGCTCATGAAATGCAAAAAAAAACTCTAAATGGTTATTCAATCAACAATTATTCAACAGTAAAATTGTAAATTTGATCATTTGACAAATGTGAATTAATCAAAATGGATAGATCAAACAGAATCATGCCTGTCACAACTAATACTGATAATTTAGTTCACTGACACCAAACAATAAAATTATAGCCAAATTCATACACAAGATCTCATAAGAAGAAACTACTTATGTGTTTGTTGCATAGTAAATTAGCAAACGAGAGACACCTGAAGCAACTGAGTTTTTCCTGACTGATTGATGAGTTGTTCAGCTTTAGAACTTCCATCTGCAGTTTGGGTGTTAGAACTGTAAGCTGAAGGGGCATTGGACTCCAATAAGACCAGTCCTAGCAGTTGAATATTTTTCTCATCGGTACAATTCTGGTTCTGACAATCTGTTATGGCTTTTGATAATTGGGTTTCTGTTTCAGTATGCAAAGCATGTTGAATTTGGGGTTCAAAACTTGAACCCTCTGCAGGTTCTTTAGATAATTGGGTTTCTGTTTCAGTGTGCAAAGCATGTTGAATTTGGGATTCAATACTTGAACCCCCTGCAGGTCGTGGTGCTGACACCTGAGATGCTGGTCCTATTAATATTGCTGCAGAATCAGAACCCACATCATCAGTTTGGCTGTTAATATCAGAACCTGCAGGGGCATCCAACACCACCATGATTGACTGTGGCTGCTCATTTGTTTCCATGATAGAATTCTGAATTTCATCATGCACATTGTATTCTGACACTTCTGTCTGTTGAATTTGGGATTCAAAACTTGATGCTAATGATAGTGCAAATGCATGAGATTTCGTAAGCCCTTTTGTTGAACCTATTCCTATTGCTGCAGAATCGGACCTCACATCATCAGTTAGGGCATTAGTATCAGAAACAGCAGGGGCATCTAACTCCACCAAGATTGATTGTGGCTGATGATTTGTTCCCATAGTAGGATTCTGAATCTTATGATGCACTTTGCATTCTGACACTTCTGTCTTTAGAACACATTGAAATTGGGGTTCATAACTTGATGCCGCTGGTAGTGATAGCTCAAATGCACGAGATTCTGTAAGCCCTTTGGGTGGACCTATTGCTATTGCTGCAGATTCAGACCTCACATCATCAGTTTGAGCATTAATATCAGAACCAGCAGGGGCATGCAACTCCACTGACATTGATTGCAGCTGATCATTTGCTTCCATAGCAAGATTCTGAATCTCATGATGTAGTTTACTTTCTAACACTTGTGTCTGTAAAACATGTTGAGTTTGAGGCTCAAAACTTGATCTCACTGCTTCTGGTGGTGTGAATACCACCTGAGATGTCAAAAGCCCTTCTGGTGATGGTATTGCTATCGCTGCAGAATCAGAACTCGCAACTTCAGTTTGGTTGTTAATATTAGAATCAGCTGGGGCATGTGGTTGATCATTTTTTCCTGCAGTAGGATTTCGAATATCATGTTTTGATGAATCCATGGACCTTTTTCCCCCATTATTTGTCTTCAGGTATTTACTAGCAGGTTCTATAATCTTATACCCGAAACCATGACCCTGTAGACCAGTGTGATCCTTGGGTTTCTCAGGTCCTTGAACTGGAACTTCAGTAGTCACCCCTATATCTTTTGGCAGGTAATTCTTGTGCTTCAAAGTACTTGCTTCAGAACTCACATTTTTTACTTGGTGTTCTCTTTTCCCAGACTTCTGAACTCGCCTAGGTTGGACTACTGAATTCATTTGAGAATTTGAAATGTGCCCTTTTGAAGCTTTTCGACCCTGTAATTCCTTTTGTTGTTCCAACATTCTTTGATGTCTCTTTCCAATGTTATGCATTTCCACATTTTTATAACCCGGTAACCTCACCTCACAAATTTTACAGTATGCAACTTGTGGCTGTGGTGCAAATCCTTGAGAAACCATAAACCCTTTTGGTGGTCCTGTTGCTATGGCAGTAGAATCAGAATTCACATGTGTAGTTTGGGCGTTAATATCAAAACCTGCAGGGGCATGTGACTGATTGTTCATTTCCACAATAGGATTTTGATTCTCATTATATTCTCTGTCTTTTGACTCCGGGGTCTGTGAGGCCGAGACATGCTGATGTGATAGCTTAAAACTTGATCCCACCACAGGTGTTGGTGCTGATGCAGGCATTTGAATGGGAGATTCTACAGAATTTGATACAGCATTGACATCAAATTTTGACGATTCCATGGGTCTTCTTGCCCCATCATTTGTCTTCAAGTATTTACCAGTTTTGTCTGTACTAATCTTACGCTTGAAACTATGACCCCATGCCCCAGTGTTATCCCTGGGTTTCCCTTCAGATCCTTCAAGTGGAACTTCAGTAGTCACCTCTATATCTTTCTGCAGGTAATTCTTGTGCTTGGAAATAGTAACTTTAGAACTTGCATTTTTTGCCAAGTATTGATTTCTCCCAGATTTCAGAATAGTCTTAGGTTGAACTATTGCACTCGTTTGGGAATTTGGAATATGCCCATTTGAAGTTTTTAGTCTTTTTGATTGCTCATGTAGTTCCAACATTCTTCGATGTTTCTTTCCATTGTTATGTGCTTCCACATTTTTGTAATTTCCCAACTTAACCTCACAAATTTTACAGTATGCCACTGGTTGTGGCCGGTGTATTGGTGCTACAGCAGGAATTGGCGGTCTAGAGGTTTGATGTGGTAAATATGGACCACCAGCATAGTGGAAATCCCAACCATAATGAGGAATTTGGTCATGGTAGGTAAACTGGCTCTGACTGTAACCTCTAAATGATATATCGTTCCAGTCACCTCTATTCTGAAACCCCCCAATCTGCAAAAAAATCATTCAAACATCAATCAGTAAGTGTTAGCGAAGAGATACAAAACCACTCTTAGGCTTCCATTGGTTTCAAAACCAGACAGACGAAGCAAGACTCACTAGTTGAATAACAACCTGGGGACTTGCTTGCAATCAGGTTCAACCCACTGAACCGTTTGAGTAATCCAATGACTTAATTTTGTCAGGGCTTATCTGTGTTTATTATCCAACATCCTATGTTCTTAGCTCTTGCATACATCAAGGACAGTGACAACAGAATAGATGGTAAAATTCATAAACCTAATTCAATTGCTAACTAGAAAAACCATATCACACTCTACTACAATGCATCCAAGATGTTCCAGACCCTTAATTGATTAATCTGCCAGGCATTAACTTTTGAAACACCATTCATATTTCATATGTACTGAAATTTCAACTACACTTAACAGCACAACAAGACAAAGTCGACATGTTACAAATAGAACAATTGCAGTCAACCTGAAACTTAAATGAGCACCACTATCCTATCCACCCTTCATAATCCTCTTCTTTTAAACAAAGTAAAGGTTTTTAAGGGCCACTTTTATAAGAACCGGAACAATAATCACAACATGTGCAAAACCTACATTACTCATTACTTATTCTTTTAACCCCAAATATTTATCTCATGCCCTCCAAACATTACTATATGCCTATGACAACTTACAATTTTGCTAGATTCTGTTGACAATTAAACATTACACAAAAAATCACAAAGTACAATTCTAATTCTACAACTATATCCAAAAACCACAAAGAATCTTCTACAGTTAAAACCACTTTTCTTAACCCTTGATCATTCACACCTCTTTCAAACAGGACAACCTTTATTCGAAAGATTCCTCGTATTACTCACCAACCCACCAACCACCACCCACCAAACAACACATTCACAAAGATTCAATTTGGAACGTGCATAGAATTACAAAAAATAACTGTCCTAGAAAAGGCGAAAATAAAAATAGTGAAAAAAGAAAAAAAAAAAAAAAAACTAACCATGATATTGCTTTAAAGGGTGCGGCAATAAGGATTCTGAAAATGTTGGCGAAAGAGTTAACTGCATGCAAATTTGGCTTTGTACGCTCCGAGATTGCGTGTTCACTGAGTGCGATTGGATACAAAGTGGCAAAGCTTTTTTGTACTGTGAGACATGTCGTCATCAGATTCATTTATGGCATGATTTTGCGGTTCTTATTAAGGGAACGGGAAATTGCATGTGATAAAGGATATACATATTATACTTTACTTAAAATTTGAAATAAAAATACTACTATTTGTTATAAAATAAGTATAATTAAACAATAATATTTTTGGAGTTATTTTAAATTACTTTATCTTTAGATTTTTTGTTATTGTGATATGTGCTTTTTTATTTTAAATTTGAATTTTTATGTTTTTTAATTTAAAAAATATATCTCTTTAATTTAGTTTTCTTTAATGTTGATAAATTTCACGTGGTAAGAATATTATTAAAATTAAATATATTTGTTAAAAAATTAAAATTATTGAATTATTACTTATAAATTTTATTTAAAAAGAAAAAAGTGATTAAGATGATAAATAATATATTATGTTAAATAAGAATAAATTAAAGAGATAGAAATTTTTATATTATAAAACTAAATTATAAAAGTTTTAAAAATAAAATTTAAATTAAAACTAAGTTAAAAAAAATTATATGCTTAATGTAAAGTGAGCTAACTCTTACAAACATCTTTTAGAAATAATTTAAAAAAATACTAAGATTCAAAAATGATAATTTATATTTTATATATAGAGGTAGATATAATAAAAATATTTAATTTTTATAAATAAAATTAATTAATTTTAAAACGATCTTGAAATATATATTTAATTTATTTATAATTTAATTTAATTTAATAATAATGTACAACGCAAATGTAGTGCAAAAAAAAAAAAAAGTCATTAGTTATAAGTATATTGTTTTAAACTTTTAAAGAGTTCAATGTATGGAATGAGATCCTCTCCCGTGAATGAATTACTATAAAAAATTAGGATCACCAAATATTTAATTTACTTTATTAAAAATAATAAATATTATACTTAAATAAAGTGAATGATTAAATGTTGCATTGCATCCCATGGAATTGAATTTTTCACCGGAAAGAATTCATATCTCAATGTATATTTTTGAAAGAAATATAAATTTAAATATAAAACAATTTTATTCTATAATTATTTAAAAAAAAAATTCAACTTCTAATTATTTTAAAAATAATTTTTTCTCATAAATTTATTTAGATTTTGTTTAAGAGTTGATTTCAAGATATTAGAAGGAAAAAAATGTGATATTTATCTATGTTTGAAAATGTTTAGACAAAAAAATATATTTATAAATCTTTCAAAATTTTTCTAATTCCATATTTGTAACTTCTTTTTTAAAAATTTTATATTAACTTTTCTTTTTTATTCTTTTTATTCTTTATTTTTCAAACTTTTTTCTCAAATAAAAGATTAAAAGATAAGAGAAGAAAAAGTAACACAAAATCTTTAAAGTTATATTAACTTTGAAAGATTTTGATTTAGGAGGTTTTTAGAGGTTTTATAAACCTTTTCCCCCTTAATTGAAAACTTCTAAATAAGGATAATAATAGAATAAAGGAAAAAATAGTTTCTAATTTTCAATATAATAAGTGATAAACAAACACTATAATAGAATTAGGTATTAGAATTATTTGGAATGGTTGAAATTGATGAGTCCATGACTAGGTCTTCTTTGATTGATGAGAGTGAAACCAAAAAGAGAGAAAACTCCTCCTATCACTCTTTCAGATTTTTTTTACGTACACTATCTTGATGGACAACCGTTACTCTAAAGTAGTTAATAGTAAAGGCCTCTCTAGTTAATAATAAGATGAGTTAAGTTTGTCTACTATGCCTCAGCCTAATAACAATAATCATAAAATCATATCCACTAATAAATGTAAAGTTATAATAAATAAGCCCAATAACAATAATTATTTATAATATGGACTAAACACATAGTTCAATATTTTGTCATCTAATTAATCTAGAATTAAACTATAATTAAATAACAAAAATTAATTTATATCAGTCTACATATAAAATATCCAATAGTCTCTCACTTGGACAACATAAATAAAAACATCATATTATTCCATATTAATCAACAATATGTGGTTACAACAAGATGCTAAAATAAGCCAACACAAACTATAAGCATCTTAACAATATAAAAAATTATACTCAAAGCAGTAGTAATATCATACATCATAAAATACCTATATTTGGTGACTCAACAACAAAGTAAAATATAGATAAATGGGAAAGCAAAACAAAACGACATGCCAAGCTGTAAACGAAATGCAATTTTTCCAACAAAATGGCCTAGGCATCAACCTAAGGTGCTTTATAAGATTTAAGAAATCTTACTACAACAAGAAGATTGAGATTGAGTCCAAAATATTTTCACAATTTGTCATTACAGTATATGCATATTGTAACACCCTCTTTTCATTATTTAGAAAATTATGTTTTGATTGACGTTAATTAGTATTAAGATGTGTTAGGAGTGTATTATGGAGAGTATTAGAAAAGCTTGGTGCAGGAAATCTCACTCAAGCGAGACTGAACGCCTAGAAATGTCTTATTTCAGAGCAATCTCGCTCAACCGAGATGATTCTCGCTTAAGCGAGATAGGATAGAATCTGCTCAACTGTCACCTCGCCTAGGCGAGAGTGATCTCGCTCAGGCGAGATGAAGATCTCACCTAAGCGAGTTGGGTCGCTCAGGCGAGGGCTTACAAGATAAATCTCACCTTCTATGGTTGCTATTTCGCTCAAGCGAGATAGAGCTCGCTCAAGTGAACATATCAGAAAAAAATTAGAAAAATCATTGTTTACATATCTCGCTCAGGCGACAGACTCGTCGCTTAAGCGAGATGTTCCTCGCTCAAGCGAGAGCGGGCAAGGCTAAGGGGTATTTAAGAGATTTTCAGCATGGAAAATTCACTTCACTTTCAAAACCTACATTCTTCTATCATTTTCTCTGAACTCTCTCTTCCTGTATCACAGATAAAAGCCTTAAAAATTCTAAAACTTTACCAAATCCGAGCTCAAACTTCGACTCTACAGAATCGTTGGTGAGTATCCTAGAGTTTGGACCTCTCATTTTCACTTCTATCTTCTCTATTTTCTCTTTACTCAACGAATACTCTTTTCTATAAGGTATAGAACTACCTTGGTCTGTGAACCATTTTTTTCTTGCTTTCTTATCACCCAAACTAGTTTTCTAAGGTAAGGAGAGCTCTATCTTATTATTAACAATTGTTGTGTTTGTATTTATGAAAATATTTGATTTGAGTATGTGTTGGATGATAACATGTTTTTGTTATGTTTTCTGGTGTTTGATGAAGTATATGACTCTTATTTTGAGTATATATATATGTATGCATGTTATGAACTGAGTTCGAGGGTGACCTACTCTCAGCAATAATTGATTGATTGTATGAGTTATTAATTAATTAGAGTAAAATATAGAGAAATGAGATAGAAAATATGAAAAGAGAAATAAAATAAGAAAAGGACATGATAAAGATGGGTATAGATAATTGAGAGGTACACTGGAAGTATGAAAGATGGAGAAGATTAAAAAGTTTTGGGGAAATGAGGGTGTTGGATGCTCCTTTTGAATTACGCAAGACAAATGAGCGTAGAAGCACCATAGGCCTCACACTTATTTCCTGACTACTACTCTTGATCATGCTTTTACTAAAAGGGGCCAGGTCGGCAAACGTTATATCCGTGTAGCTGCGGCTATCTAGCAACTATCTATGCTAAGGAAGATCTCGACGGATCCTAGGGGCAGTGAAAGTGAGAACTGAAAGTGTTAGTAGTAATGGACCTAAGTTGAATAAATTAGATGTTTAATGATTTTGTTATATGATGCTTGCATGATTTCTTTATCTGTATCATTGAATTAATTGTGAATATATGCTTAATAATAAAAATAGAGACTCATCCTTACGTAAATATTTCAGAAAATCAAGATGACATCACCTACCGAGAGAATTAGGCTTGCAGATAGTTCTGTAACTGATAGACTAAATTATGTATTTAATAAGTATCAGAGACTTTGTTTCTTTAGGATTACTGTATGTGTAAATGATGTACCTAGTGACATTATTATGATGGAAATAGAATTAGCTTATAGCATTCCTTTTGATTTTTCTATAAGTAGAATCCATCGTACCCTTTATGTATATATCTTTCCTAGCACTATGAGGATCCCAGCAGCATTGACCTTCCTGTTTATGTACCATGACCACGATCATTTTGGGAGACCATCTCGATGGACATTTGAGCAGATTACGGGTACCTAGGTTTCTGCAGACCCTGGTAATTTATATCTCGGATCGGATGACGATCTCGACTCTGATGATATTGCGATGATAGAGGGATGGCAAAGGGATGACTAGTGTCCCTTTGGTCTTGTGATGGATAGGCTGCTCATTAGAACTTGTTTTATTTTGAATCTTGTAAATGTTGGAAAAAAGTCATAATGTATTTTAATGTATTTTAATGAATATTTTGTAAATGTTAACATCTTGTATATTATAAGCACAATGTATGTTCATGTCATTTAATGTTTCCTCTTAAAATTTTGGTTAACTATTATGGCTTCATCATTCAAAGTTCTTATACGTTTGATCAAAATAAACAGGATATATTATAATTTCATTTGATATAATCAAGTGGTAATAAATTTAATTAATTTTTCACATTATTCTGAAATCTTTATTCTTATCAAGTTGAATATAAATAAGGATGTTACAATTTGGTATCAGAGCAGTTCTTCCAAATCGAACTGGGGTATGGGACTAGTTATCTATGCTATGTGCTCTTATATTCTTGCTTAACAAGAATGAGTTGATTGAGTGTTAGGAATGTGTATGACTTGTTTTCTTTAATTGCTTATGTGCACTAGTGGTTATGATAGTTGCTGATAAGCTTGAATGGTTTCTTTCAAAATAGAATCATTACTGGTAGAGGTAGACCTGCGGAAGTCACAAATGAAATCTTGAACTATATGGTTCAAGTAGTAGAAACTCTAATATAGAATCAAGATGCTGAGTCGACAGGGTATAAGAGACAATTGTCCTTCACAAAAAACAACCCTCCAAAGTTTGAGGGAAAATTTGATCCAAAAGGTGCTCAAAGATGGATCGCGGACATAGAGAAGATATTTAATGCTATGAGCTGCCGTGAAGAGCATAAGGTGGGTTATACCACCTACATGCTGAATGAAGAAGCTGAAGACTTGTGAAGCTTCGCCAGTCAAACCTTGCCTCAAGAAGAGGGTCACATCGCTTGGGAAGTGTTCAAGGCTTGTTTTTTGAGAAACTACTTCTCTAGAGACTTGCAGAAATAGAAGGCGAGGGAATTTCTGGAGCATAAACAAGGGAACATGTTGGTGGAAGAATATGCAGACAAATTTCATGAGCTGATAAAATATTGACCCCACTTTCAGCATGATGGAGGCAAGGAGGATTTGTGTGCCCAATTTGAGAGTGGGCTGAGAGTTGACATCCACACTACAGTGAGTGTATTCTAAGTAATGGACCTCCCTACCTTGGTGAGTAAATGCCAAGTTTATGAAGCCAACGCGAAAGAGAAGTCAGTGGATAGTCGAGTTAGAAGATACGTGAGACAAGATAGGAGGCCCTCGAGATTCCAGAGAAGACCTTACTCTAGCCCAGCTCAATCTCGAGCTAGTGGGATTGCACCTTGCAAAAGTGGTAGTTATAACTCCAACATCTCTCGAGAGCCATTGAAGTGTTTCTGATGCGGAAGACCCTACATGATCCGAAATTGTCCATAGCCAACTGCCACGAGTGGTCACTACGGGAAGATGGGGCATCAGACTAGTGCTTGTTGATTTACACCTCAAGGGAGCTGAAGTGTTAGTGGAAGCAATAAACCAATATCTAAGAGCAGTGGTGGATCGAAGTCTAATGTGCAAGGAAAGGTGTTTGCCATGATTGGCTCTGAAGCAGCAAAGTCAGATAACCTCATCCAAGATAAATGTATTTTGAAGGAAAAACTTGTAGATGTTCTTTTCATTTCTTGTGCTACTCATTCGTTTATCTCCTTGGATTGTGTGCATTGCCTTGAATTGCCTGTCTCTGTTCTTCCATACGATATTATAGTATCCACCCTACAGATAAGCCTATAATAACCTCGCACATATGTGTGGGTTGTTCTGTGATATTTCATGGTAGAAATTTCTTAATAGATTTGATTTGTCTATCCTTTTCTCATTGGACAATATGTTAGGAATGGATCAGTTGTCGTCTAATCATGTCCTTCTTGATTGTAAAGAGAAAAAACGTTAATTTTTGGTAATAGTGTGCTAAGAAGTCCTAAACTCCTATGTGAGGGTGACTTAAGAAACATGTTCAATGTCAAGGCCTTTATGGCTATTTTCTGCTGAGACAGAAAGAATTGCGAAGGTGGAACATATATTGGTGGTGAATGAATTCTTAGAAGTCTTTCCAGAGGATGTAACTAAACTGCCACAGGAGAGAGAGATTGAATTCACGATCGACCTTATACTAGGAGCAAGCCCAGTCTGCATTGCACCTTATTGGATGTCACCAATTGAGTTGGCCGAAGTAAAGAAGCAAGTTAAAGACTTGTTAGAGAAACAATTTGTGAGACCGAGCCTACCACTATGGGGAGCTCCTGCACTCTTAATGAAGAAGAAGGATGGAAGCATGGGGATGTGTATTGACTATCGTCAATTGAACAAAGTCACAATTAAGAACAAGTATCCTCTCCTCAGAATAGATGACTTGACGGACCAACTGAGAGGAGTCTCAATATTCTTAAAGATTGATCTGCGACGGGATACCATCAAATTTGAGTGAAGAATGAGGATATTCCAAAAACTGCGTTCAGGACTCGTTATGAACATTAAGAGTACCTAGTTATGCCATTTGGTGTGATTAATGCTCCGGCTGTATTCATGGATTACATGAATCAAATCTTTTATCAATATCTAGACCAGTTCGTGGTGATATTCATAGATGATATCTTGATCTACTAGAAGAGCATGAAGAACATGCTGAGCATCTGAGGATTTTCTTATAGATTCTGAGCGAGAGACAGTTATATGTGAAGTTTTTAAAATATAAATTCTGGTTATCGCAAATACAATTTCTGGGACGCGTCGTATCACGCGAAGGAATTATGGTTGATCCAGCTAAGGTTAAAGTGGTGTCTCAATGGTAAAGACCTACTACTCCAATGAAAGTTCGAAGTTTCTTAAAGTTGGCAGGCTATTACAGAAAGTTTATTGAGGAATTTTCTAAGATAACCTTACCTTTGATGAAGCCGACGCGAAAAAGGAAGGATTTTGACTGGAATGAAGAATGTGAGACAAGTTTCCATAAGTTGAAAGAGAAATTAACATCTGCACTTGTGTTAATTTTGTCCGATCCTGGTAGGAACTTCGAAATATACTATGATGCATCAGGACAAGGTCTTGGATGTGTTTTGATGCAAGATGAGAGAATAGTGGCGTATGCGTCTAGGCAATTATGACCTCACGAGATCAATTATCTCACGCATGATTTGGAATTGGCAGCAGTGGTCTCTGCATTGAAGATCTGGAGACATTATCTCTTTAGAGCAAGATTTGAAGTCTTTAGCGACCACAAAAGTTTAAAGTATCTATTCAACCAAAAAAAGCTAAATATGCAACAACGGAGATGGATGAAATTTCTGAAAGATTACGATTTCACACTATCTTACCATTCGAGAAAAATGAATGTGGTTGCGAATGCATTAAGTAGGATGTCTTTGCATATCTCGGCAATGATGGTGGAGGAATGGAAGCTGATTGAAGAATTCAGAGATCTGAACTTAGCAGTAGAGCTACAACCTAACAATTTATATCTTGGAACTTTGAAGATCAGTAATGATTTCTTGGCTCAAATTTGATCTATGCAACAAGAAGATCGGTATTTGCAAGAAATGATATGGAAGAAAGATAATGGCAAGAATTTAGAATTTCGTTGCGATTCAAATGGGTTGATAAGATTCAAAGATGGGGTATGTATTCCCCAAAATGAAGAGCTGAAATGGATGATTTTAGAAGAGGCTCATAAGAGTAAGCTAAGTTTCCATTCAGGAGCGACAAAGAACTTTTGGTGGTATGGGATGAAAAAGAAAATAGCAGAGTACGTGACAAAATGTTTAACTTGTCAGAAATAAAAAATGGAGCATCAACGCATGTCAGAGGAGTTACAATAACTAGAAACTTCTGAGTGGAAGTGGGATGACATCTCCATGGATTTCATATCCGGCTTGGCAAAGACCAAGCAGAATCATGATGCAATATGGGTGATCATGGACAGATTGACCAAGACTGCTCATTTTCTTCCAGTCAACATGAAATACAAGATGGAAAGGCTAGCAAAGCTGTATATTAAAGAGATCGTTCGACTACATGGAGTGCCTTCTATCACGACCCCTTTTATAAGGAACCGAGAACATTGTTTCTACGTCACAAACTTATTTGAAATAAAGTATAGAAAATATAATTATGAAATTCTCTTCTCATTCAAAATAAAACAGTGTTTCTTACAACAAATATCCAACAGAACAACATAATATTACATTTGGTTCATAATATTCAAAAATACCCAAAATTATACTACGTAGCTCCCTCTACATGAGGTCTTAAAATATAAGGAAAAAGAACTTAGATGCAATATTACTCGACTTCAGCTTCTATCATTTCTCCACTGGCCCCACAGCCTGTGAAGTAGATGCAACACCTGCTACATCTGCTCACGTACCACCGTACGATCATCGCAGTACACACACACACAACGACATAGAAAGAAATGCAAGGGTGAGCTTACCAAACTTAAAATAAAATCATATATATAGAGCAAAATATTTCTCACAGCAATAATCCCATGCATTTCCAGCCCATCTAATGCACAGCATGAAAACGGTTTCCAACTGGTTTTACAGCCTAAGTAATCCAGAAGGAACCGAGCCGGTCCGGGAGCGACCCATTCCGGTATCTGGATTCAAACAGCACAGCACAGCAGCTCAGCATGAACTTACCGTTACACGTCTACCCACCTAAACATGTAACTCAGCTCTATAATGATGCAAAACATATATCTCAGCATGATGCACACCGCCAAAATTATTTTAACAGCTCAGCTAAGGCAAGTTTAAGATAGATCAGCCAAAATCTCAGCATTTTAAATCAATTAACAGCAGTTACAGTTTAGAAAATAGCTTTTATTCTATAGATCTAACAAAATCATATCAAAACATCTTAAAATAGCATATTAAACCATTCAAAACGTAGTTCATAGGTTAAAGTAAACTCCCCTTACCTCAGAAAGATGATTCACACTAGATCTACCGAATATTACGTGTTTTAATGCAAGATTCACCGAAGATTCGGCTTTAGAACGGAGTTTCTCTTCAAATCCTTCAGAATAGACGTAGGATCTCAGATCTGGCGAGAAATCTAAGTTTAGGAAGGTTTAGTATGAGAGAAATGGTAGTTTTTGGCCTTAGAACCTTTGAGAACCTTGGATAGGGGTGAAGAAAAAAAAATTTCGTGTGAAGCCCCCTTTTTATAGAAAATTTTTGAAATTCACTGTTCATCGCCGGAAACACTGTTCAGGGCACTATTCATGCCGGAAAATACTGTGCACGCGTACTGTACACGCACTGTATGCGTATGTGACGTCAGCCATGACGTCATGATGATGTCACTGATGACGTCAGCAGTCACTGTACATACACGGTTTTCACTGTTCATACACGGTTTGTATGCGGTTTGCACTGTTCATAGGCGGTTTTACTGTTCATCCGACACTGTTCATACGGTACTGTTCACTTTTTTTTTTATTATAAATAATTTCAAACTCTATCTAAATCTATTCCAATACCAATTAATCCTTCAATTAACATTGAACAAGTATAAAATATTATAGATTACTCAATAATAAATCTCTAGCCTGACACCTTCAAACATCGTGTCTGATCAAGATCCGAGATTTACTTCCAAATTTTGGGAGAGTTTGTAAAGATTATTGGGAACTAAGTTTTCATCATATCATCCTTAGACCATGGACAAACGGAACAAACCATCCAAACCTTGGAAGATTTGTTACGAGCTTGCGTGATGGAGCAACAAGGAACTTAGGAGGAGTGTCTACTCTTGGTAGAGTTTACTTATAACAATAGCTATCATGTTAGCATCGGGATGGCACCGTATGAGGTATTGTATGGAAGAAAATGCATAACACCATTATGTTGGTACGAGTCTGGAGAAGTGGTTCTATATGCACCCGACTTAGTTCAAAGGCAGAACAATCAGATCAAGATGATCAAGGAGAAAATCAAACTATCTCCCAAATTTATTGGACCATTCCAAATCTTGAGTAGAATAGGTCCTGTAGCATATCAAATCACATTTCCTCCAATAGCATATCATGTAATCATAGCATATCTTATGATGTATTTCCCGTAAAGATTGCCGATCGACAAGTTAAACAGTTATGAGGCAAAGAAATATCTCTAGTAAAAGTGATATGGAGTGCAAATGATGAAAGAGATACCACTTAGAAACCTGAGGACCAAATGAAGGAATCATACCCTTATCTCTTTTTGAATCAGTGAATTTTGGGGGCAAAATTCTTAAAAAGGTTAGAGAATTGTAACAGCCTCTTTTCATTATTTAGAAAATTATGTTTTGATTAATTTAATTAGTATTAAGATGTGTTAGGATTATATTATGGAGAGTATTAGAAGAGGTTGGTGCAGGAAATCTCGCTTAAGCGAGATTGAACGCCCACAAATGTCTTATTTCAGAGCAATCTCGCTTAAGCGAGATAGGATAGAATCTGCCCAACTGTCACCTTGCCCAGGTGAGAGTGATCTAGTTCAGACGAGATGAAGATCTCACCCAGGCAAGCTGTGTTGCTCAGGCAAGAACTCACAAGATAAATCTCGCTTTCTCTGGTCACTGTCTCGGTGAGGCAAGATGGAGCTTGCTCAAGCAAGCATATCTGAAAAATATTGGAAAAATCATTGTCTGCATATCTCGCTCAGGCGACAAACCTGTCGCTCAGCGAGATGTTCCTTGCTCAAGCCAGAGTGCGTGGGGCTAAGGGGTATTTAAAAGATTTCCAGCATGGAAAATTCACTTTGCTTTCAAAACCTTCGTTCTTCTATCATTTTCTCTGAACTCTCTCTTCCCATATCACAAACAAAAAGCCTTAAAAACTTCAAAACATCACCGAATTCAAGCTCAAACTTCGACTCTACGGAATCGTCGGTGAGTAACTTAGAGTTCAGACCCTTCATTTTCACTTCTATCTTCTCTATTTTCTCTTTACTCAACGAATACTCTTTTCTATAAGGTGTAGAACTACCTTGGTCCGTGAACCATCTTTTTTTTGCTTCTCATCACCAAAACTAGTTTTCTAAGGTAAGGAGAGCTCTATCTTATTATTAAAAATTGTTGTGTTTGTATTTATGAAAATATTTGATTTGAGTATGTGTTGGATGATAACATGTTTTTGTTATGTTTTGTGGTGTTTGATGAAATATATGACTCTTATTTTGAGTATATGTATATGTATGCATGTTATGAATTGAGTCCAAGTGTGACCTACTCTCAGCAATAATTGATTGATTATATGAGGTATTAATGAATTAGAGTGAAATATAGAGAAATGAGATAGAGAATATGAAAAGAGAAATGAAATGAGAAAAGGACATGATAAGGACGGGTATAGATAGTTGAGAGGTATACTGGAAGTATGAAAGATGGAGAAGACTGAAAAGTTTTGGAGAAATGAGGGTGGTGGATGTTCCTCTTGAATTATGCAAGACAAATAAAAGTAGGAGTACTACAGGCCTAACACTTGTTTCTTGATTAATACTCTTGATCATGCTTTTACTAAAAGGGACCAGGTCGGCAAACGTTGTATCTATGTAGCTATGGTTATCTAGCAATTATCTATGCTAAGGAAGACCTTGAGGGATCCCAGGGGCAGTGAAAGTGAGAACTGAAAGTGTTAGTAGTAATTGACCTAAGTTGAATAAATTAGATGATTAATGATTTTGTTATATGATGCTTGCATGATTTCTTTATCTATATCATTGAATTATTTGTGAATATATGCTTAATAATAAAAATAGAGACTCATCCTTATGTAAACATTTCAAGGAACCAAGATGACAGCACCTATCGAGAGAATTAGGCTTGTAGATAGTTCTGTAACTGATAGACTAAATTATGTATTTAATGAGTATTAGAGATTTTGTTTCTTAAGAATTGCTGTATATGTAAATGATGTACCTATTGACATTATTATGATGTAAATGGAATTAGTTTATAACATTCTTTTTGATTTTTTTATAAGTAGAATCTATCATATCCTCTGTGTATATATCTTTCCTAGCACCGTGAGGATCCCAGCAGCATTGACCTACCTG